TTTTTTTTTTTTTTTTTCCCCTGTATTTTATTTTAAATGCAAGTAACCTACTAGTTAGAGTCTGGCAAAGTTACAAGCAATTAGCAAGATCTTTTAAAAGGAAATGTAAGCAGCCATAAAAGATGGAGTTGTTATCACATGGTATTAAATGCCCAACACACTGCCAAATTTTATAGATATCCTAGATTCTCATCTATTTTTCATGGGGAGTTCTGATATAAGAAGAGATTAACATCTTCAAAGAGTACTGGCAAATTCAGATTTTAATAGGTTTTAAGAACTCAAGTACTTTACAGCTAACTTCCTAAAACTTTGAGAGTATTACAGGGATGCATGCCTAGAAATAAGACTCAAATACGTCAATCTAAATGTCAAACTGCGGGCAAGGTTTCCCTGAAGACTTTACAGGAAATTCTCCACAGTTGATTTTTTTTCTTTTCCTTTCTGTTTGCTTTCTACAAACCTCCTATAGTCAAAAACTGCTGTATTATAGGCAAATAGAATATGTGATGACAACTGAAGGAAAGTCTGTTAGGGATATTAAGAATTTTTTTATTCTGAACGATCTAGAGGGACATCCCTATTAAAAATAATAATAATAAATAAAGGTTGAAAACTGGCAGAGGGTCTGCTACCATCACGCTCCAAGACTAGAATAAAACCAATTGCTAATTGAAATGTTAAGTCAATAAAGCGATTTCTGTTTGGACCTGAGCAATTTTAGTGAAAGTTATTTCAACTCCAGATGTTTTCTCTGTCACTGTATTGGAAGACTATGTATGGATTGGCTTCTGTTATTCAGAATACATTTATGTGTCAAAGACTAAAACAAGAAGAATAATTTGTCAGTTACGGCTGCATATTTTTATAAACTAGTAACCTGAATGATTTAATCGTTAAGGAAAAAGCACAGTACCACTGCAGAAAATAGGCCATGTTACATGTGAGCAGGTCTCAATATTTATTTTAACAACTTCTGAGATTGCATAATCTTTCTGAACTCATGCTAAAAATCTGAAAGGTTACAGGAAAAAAACAATTTAATAATGAAATTTTTCAGATCTATTAAGTTCAGAAGAGTTAAATTCTACTTTGCCCATCAAGGTTATAACAGCAGAAAAGGAAATTCATGGCACTGGAAACCTTAAGACATAAATTGACACCTATTTCAGTTTCTTAAATCAGTTCAACATGCAGTCACACACAGTAGGGTCTGCACAGCGAATGCTGGCAAGAAGTTCAGCCATCCACCGGAGTAAAAGAAAACAACTCAGTCATTCAAAAACGTTTTATCTGTAAAACAAAATCTGTATTAACACCTTAAGACAAGGGAATGAGTGCTACAGCAACTGGTCAGCTGCACAATCCAAGGCAACACCATCTCCTTGAGGGGAACATATCAGAGATATTGATGAGGGAGTACAACAGGACTGTGGGTGCAATAGCGTGGTGCCTCTAGAGATGCCATGTACACCTGCTTTTACATTAAGAGTATATGTAGTCCTCCTCTTGGGACCTCAAAGGATATGCTGAAGAAAAAGACAGTGCAAGATTATCTCCATAAAGAGGAGATGTTGGGTAAACCTGTCTTGCATCATCATTATTAACTGCACCCAGAATTTCAGGATGGCAAAAACCTAATACAGGAAATCTCAAAGCAGAGTTTGGTGTTGGCAAGAGCAGAACTCAGCTGGAAGACAGACTACACTTTAAAGAGGAAAAGCTCAACTGCATAAATTCAGCCAGGATTCGTATTTCATTCTTCCATAATTTCTTTGAATAGATGGGGAGCTCTGCACCCCCATTGCCTGTGATACTAGTACATGTGTTTGCCTCTTCCATAATGCAACCCTGCTGCCTCCTTGTGCAAATCGAGGCTGCAGCTGCCCTTACTATAAACACACCTTCCTAGATAAGACATTTCTTTTTTTTTCTTCCCTTAGGTTCTAGTGTGTGCATAAACATAACAAAATTAGAAACTCAGTATGATGCATATTGTACTAAGATATACGTCAAGACATGGGAAGTGCTGTTAATAAATATGCACTGCATACGTAACATCTCTGAAGCAACTGGAGCATATGATCTTAATGAGCATCAAGCTCTAAATACAGACAAAGCAGCATCTAATGTTCCCTCCACCTTGCCCCTTCACAGAATAAACTCCTTGAAGATTTTAAGGAATGCACTGATTGCATTTTAAAAGGGGTTTTGAGGGATAGGAGTCAATCCACATTTACTTTGGTTGAGCAGATTCTTAAAGGCCTCCGTTAGCCAAAGAAAAGCCCCTGATCTGATCTAATTAGAATGGAAATCTACTCATGAAGAATACCTAAAGTGTAAAAAAGGATATAAATGAAGCCCAAAATAAAACCAGTTTCAGCATAGAAGAGGGTAGACTTAGCACAGTTGTTTGCTGTTACACAAGCACTTCCAGTGAAAGAAGTAAATTGACACAGATGGAGGCACTGAGCTCACCTGAGAGAGATAATTTCATTTTCAGCTTCTGACAGATGTGCAACCAGCAGTAAATCACAATGGTACAGACAAAATGACTAGGAATTCATAACTGAACAAGTAAATGGTTGTACTCCTTTCTTGGCTTTTATTTTATTTATAAAGTTTTTTTCTTTTTTTTTTTTTTTCACTTTGTCAGTAAAGCATTGACACTATGCCAGTATAAGTTTCTCTAAAATCCTCTTAGCAGAAGCACTTCCCATTAGGATCATGTCTAACTGGGATCCCTGTTCCAGGAGTGGGGAGCCTGGTTTCAATATCCTAACTATCTTTTTGGTTTGCAAACATTACAACTGTACTTGTTATTGTACAGAAATGCTGAAGTGTTTAAAGTAAGACTGCATTTTGCGCTTAGACTCCTCCTAACCTTTTTCAGAATACTGCCTAAGAAAATTTAAGCATTATAAGAAAGTACAGATCAGTGGACTAAAGGGACACAAATAAGAATACCTGGCAACCTGGATAAAAAAGTTGGTCCTAAACACTGCATCCTCAATCCTCTCAGCAATGCACTGCTGTAACCTTTTTACCTAGCCTGAAGAATATGATTCCTGTAAACAAAACAAAGTGAAAAAAACAGGTGACATTTCCATCAGCCCAGAGATTCACACACGGCTTTGTATGGCAGGTACAGATACAATAGGCTGCAAAGTCTCAAGAGCAGGAGGGATTAAAGTAGCAGGAGGGGAGGGTGGGAAAGAGGGAAGAAAACTGCTTGCTCCCATCACTCCTGGAGTAGACTCTGTAATCACTCTCCCTGGACCATGTGATGAAAGATGCATATGGAAAAAAAAAAAAACTTGTTTTCTAGTTCATTTTAAAAGAAAAAAATATATGGTTGCAATGTTCATTTAGCAAGCAATTACCAGTAAAGCTTCATGAGACACGCAGTGAAATGCTGATGACTGCAGCTCAGACAAGTGCAGGGACCAGGCTTTGCATAGATTATGATGTGGGCTATGTATTTCACAGCTTAATCATCTCTGGCTCTTAAGAAGTAAGTCTTGCACAGCATGAACTGTAAAGTTACACCAACAAAAGTGTTTCTTGGAGTCTTAAACAATATTTAAAAGTAATTCTATAAAAAAGCCTTTAATGGGAGCAAGGGATAAATGGAATAGGAGCTCTAACAATATTAACAGGTTTGTGTCAACAGCCAGATTCACCCCAAAGCATAATCAAATAAAGTGACAGTTATGTTATAATCATCATATGTTATAATCATCTCTCTGCATGCTAAGCCTTTGTACTTATGCTGCAAACCTCTGCACCAGATGTAAAATTTGGCTCTTCTTTTCTGCTCTGTACCTGACTTTCACTAGCGTGCGATTTGTTTTCTGTCCATGTGCAATGTAGCGGGTTAGTGAGGAGAAGCCCAAACTCCAAACCACATATCGCTAACCGCATTCAGCCCTGCAACGTTACCTCCTTTGGTAACTCGCATCTCTCATCAAAACTGTTTGCAAGACTGTGGGATAAATGAGCTTGGAAACAGATACTCAGGTGGTTGCTGGCAAGAGCAGACGAAGCATGATCAAGGCATTTGTCTTTAGCTATATGACAATATTTTGCCAATCAAACCCCTGAATGATTCCACCTCCAACATCTTTCTTGTTGCTTTTCGATATTGAAATAAAGCTCCCGTGCTCCACCTCACACTGCTTAACCAGCAGGACTATGAATTACTGTAGCAGGTGGGCCAGTGTGGTTTTAAAAGCAATGTAATACAATCAACTGTACAATATCAGATTTCAAGGAACGCAAAAGACATCTAGACCAGAGGTTGATCCTTAAGCAATCCTAATATTGGCATTAAAGTGTTCAAGATCCCACAGGGACCTTTTTATCTTTTGACCCCAGGTTTTAATTGAAACTTTAAACAAAATATATTACCGATTTAATGCAGCTGAACTGGACTCTGGCCTTTGTAGTCCATGTTGTAATGCCAAGCAAATTAATCTGTGTAACCTTAGTACGTACTTTTTAATTTACATCAAAGAAAAATGACAGAGGGAAAAACAAACAGCAAGCCAAGCCTACATAGACTATTGAATAATTATTTTGATTCTAGTTTGAGAGTTTTAATTCTTAGCTTTTCTGTGTTTTTCTTTTTGAGGGGAAAAAAAAAGAAACGAAGACGGAAAGAAAGAGGAGTTTTACTTTTTGGTACAAAGCCAGAGAAACATATGGTTTCCTTAGCTGGGTTGCTGCACACCTGGCAAAATAAATCACAGCGACAGGAGACCAAAATCTACCCTGCAACCTTTCACATGCACAAACTTCCAACATCTGACGCTGGTCTCCTGGCCCTGCCTTTTGTATCAGGAAGCCGGGGGGAAAGGAGGAAAAAAAAAGGCAAAGTCAAAGAGATAGCTTGATTTTTGAGGCCTGATGCTCCTTTTTAGTTTAAGGGACCAGTTATTTCTTGGCGTTTTTGAGGCTGAGCATCAGCTGGGCAGGCTGGCACGAGGGAGGAGCGAGCCCCGAGGACAGCCAGGGTGAAGGGCAGGAGCAGCAAGGGCAGGGAGGGCCGCGTGAGGCCGTGAGGCACGCGGTGCCGTGAGGGCTGAGCACCCGCGAGGCCTGGGCCCGACCCGCTCCGCACGCGGAGCCGCCTGCACAGCTGCATGGAAACACCCCGGGAAACTGCAGTGCAACCACACAGCAACTACTGGAAATTAAGGGGCTTCTTTTTCCAAGTCACAGGCTTAAATCTAACGTGGAGCCGAGCAGAAGAACTGCCAGCAACTCCGATTACATCTACCCTGATGACGGCTGCCGCAGATAATCTGCAAACCCTCCCCGGGTTTCACGATAAGCCATAAAGATTTTTCATCCATATGCAGTGAGAGGGAAGGACTCTCCCTTCCCAAACATTCTGGATGCACTTCCCAGGTTCTCCGCTGGAAAGGAGCAGAAATTAAGGATTTGTAGAGCGGGCATCGCTCACAGTTGGGTTCATGAGACAGGACCTGCCTGTTTCAGTTCTTCAGGTCTCTTACTCAAAGGCAAGAAGCAGGCAGACAAGTTTATGTAATGTTGTATATCAAAGAAAGCTATAGCAAACTGGTTTATAAATTTATCTCCAGCATCAAAATAGAAATAAATAATCTAGTTGGCTTCCTGGTGCCCAGGGACACAGCACGAGGCGCAGAGTGGATGCGCTGGCGATAACGGATGCATCTGCCTTGTTCTCCTGTCACAGCCGATGCAAAGAAATGACTGAAGAGGTGTTTAGGATTTATCTCTCCCAGCTCACAAGCTGGAGCTAGTCATCCCCACCCCTTTTATGGAGGATTATTCATACAATCCACTACAGGTGTCTAAGGCTGGTGTGCTGCGTTGTTCCCGGAGGTATCTTTTTGTTCCATGCTATAACATGACTCTAACTTGTCACTTAACCTATAGACTTCTGCATTTGGGAGAGACTGAACTAATCCAGTCTGTGTAACTGCAGTCACGGAGCTTGTGTAGACACATCCAGGGCAGCCTTAGACAAACCAGCCCGAGCTCTGCTAGTAACAAAGCTGCAGTGGGTTAATCCGAGTCGGTACCTGCCTCCTGGATTGCCTCTGCCCCCACGTAACATCATCTCAGGGACAGGTCCCCGGCGGTTCTGCTTCCTCTGCACTGGCGGCAACCACAACAGCAAACAAAATACAAAAACCTATTGCCAAGTCGTGCTCTACAGAGCTCTCTAATAGCCGGCCGCTTTTTCTAACAGCCTGGAAGGGGCTGAGGTGAACTCGGTTGACCCTAACTTGTTATGCCGCTAGGATATAAGTGAAGTGTCTAAAGGAAATAGGACCCAGAGTATGAGCTAAGCAGCGGAAGAAAGAAACACAGCAGCAGCCAAGGCCGGGCAAAGGACTGAGCTGGTCTTTGTGCTCTCCACGGCTTTGTGTGTTAATAAATGCAAATCCCAGGAACAGGGTGAACTTGGGTTTCACGGACAGTGCTTAAAAAGCAAGCTGAGAAAGGCCTCCTGAACCTAAAAAAAAAAAAAAGTAACCAACGGAAAGAAGAGTAAGAAAGTAAAGAACCTCATAGGTCATAATGATCTAGTCACGGAAGAAGGAGGAGGAGGTGGGTGGCACCTGTTTTGTAATGAAGACCTTTTGTAATGAAGCTGTCTTTGGGCTGGGAACAACCTTGGCTTCCATTTTGTAATCTTGGTGCTTGCAAGGAACGCTTTTCTCTGGCTTATGAAAAATGTTTCTGCTTGCTGTGCAGGGCAAACTTCTGTGGGTTTACGGGAACACGGCCATCCTGCAAAAGTCACTTCAGGATGTCCATAATAAGTAGATGGCTAATTACCCAGAGTTATGACCGTCGATAAGCCCATTAAATTTGTCAGCAAATACTGGTAAAAGATCCGACAAAACCATAGTTCAGCTAAGACTGTCTGTGAACAAATGCACATACAACAACCAACCTGTGTGTTTCAGGGTGTTTAGCCATTAGCTTTAACCTGATAAAGCTCATCATTTCAGAAGCTACTCTCCATTGAACTATATATACTGTTAAGGGACGGTTTATAGCATTACTACGATTAGATCCTTGATAACTGTGACAATAGAAATATTTAATTTAGGGTTATACAGATTTTAAAACACGTAGCACCAATTAAAACTACAAATTTTAGATTATTTTCATGGGTAAGTACATATATAGGAGCTAATAAAAGCTATATTTTCTAAACAAGCTAGCAGAAAAGTGAATGGCCTCTCCTTACTACAGCTGTGTCAACCACTGCCAACTGCTCTATTATTTTGTGCATCAGGAGAAAATGTTCACATACTTCCCCTTCATCCTAATTGTTTCTATATGCATTTCCTTTTATCCTAATCAAACTATTTCAAAGACATCCTAAAATCCCTTATGTCCTAGACAGAAGATCGCAGAATCTCCTTGGGAAGAGACTTAGGTCAGTTGCAGAAACAGATGCCCCTTCAGGCAGAATCCTGCTTAAAAAACATCTCTGGAACTGTCATCTTGTTTAACAAATCTGAATAACATGACTAATAATTCATATCATTTTTCCCTGTTGTCTGCTTAATGTCTTTTGTATGAAGATGTGATGAAGACTATAAGGATCTTAATTTAGGATGTAAAAAAGAAAGCCTTCATAGCTACACTAATGGTTCTCACAGTACTCAGGGGATTTTGCTGAAATTTTGAAGAGCAGGTTGGCTGGTCCTGAAAGGACTTTATCACTTTATACATTTCTCTGACACTGTGTTGTGAGTATATGAGAAACTATACTTTGTCACACGCTGAAAAAAAAAAATTCAATGAGCTCTGTGGTCCAGCTTGGCATCTTATTTGTTTACACAGTAATTTAACATCCATCATCCAATGCCCACACTAAAATACATTGTTATAATCCAAGCCACTTCTCACTCCATTTTCTATGAATGAAATGCATTTTCTTTACTTAGTTTGAAAGATAACTAAATGGGAGAATTTAAAAGAAGCCAAACAACAGCATGAATTGTATACGAGATACTGAATCTGACTTCAAAGGCAGCAAACTCCACTCACCCATGCAATGTAAATGTAAAGGTGTTACACGGGTACTCTTAAAAATAATCATTAACCAACAGTTCAAACGCTTATTGTATCTTATTCAGCACTCCTATTGCTGATACTTAAAATTCTGAACTTAATTTGGCTCACATCTGTTGGAGGCAACTATTTCTGTATTTATTAGTTAATTCATTTGTGACCTAGTTGCCTGGCCAAGCTCTTTTGTTTCACCGGATTTGACTCCCCAGGCATCATTCTGAAACACTAACATTTTACTTACCCATCATGTTGTATAAGCTTTGTGGTGCAAATTGCCTGGGCATTTTCTGTATTGCTTCCTTGTAAACCATAAGGGCATCCTGAAAGAAGACACACAGGTAGGACAAACCATTATTAAAGCACCAATTTCGAAAGCAGCCTTTCACACTGAAATTAAAAACGAAATATCCTTCCCAAATGAATAGCTGCAGAGAGAGAAAAGATCTGCATCATAAATATCACAGGAAGGCCACATTTCACATTTACAGAAATCTCACCCGATTAAGCAAAGCTCATTCACAAGACCAGTTCCCATAAAGCAACTCTTTTGCCAGGTAGAAATAAAAGCAAGCTTTTTTTTTAACCCCCCCAAAGATTCTTGAATCGATAAATACACATTTTACAGATTAATACCAAGCTGCAGACAGAGATTTTTCAGATGACTAAGCTACAGTAAGTGACCTAAAAATAAAGAATAATTGCCTACCACCAAGGAACAACAAAACATAACCCTCACAACTATTATTTTGCTCCACAGAATGGATGACATAGTGTACAGTCAGGAATAATCAGCTAAAATTGGGTTCCCTTTGTGAATACACTGTTGTTTTGAATTATTTGATAACACTTTAACGACATTCTGCATTTAGGGTGCTTACTAGCTGCTGCGTCATTTTCCCCATCACCCCAGCAAATTGCTGCAGCTTGCGAAGGCTGAAATACAACTGGAAAATCCCAGTGTATGATCCGATCAGGCCTGGGATGGGCTGCAACGACCAGCAGGCGGAAATCTCATTTTCTATTCCGAGAATGGCTCGCGCCTCCCCTGCGACGCGCTGCAGCTCCCCGCTCCGCCGGCCATGCGGGCAGGATGCTGCTGCTCCCGAGGCTTTATGGCTGCATTAACGTCTGCCTCCGCGTTTTAACCAATTAGTAGCTGCTTTGAGACGGAGCCGAGCACAGCAGCAGCTCGCGGAGGATCCCCAGAACTTGTGCGTGCCTAATCCCAAACAGCCCAGTTGAGCTGTTGCGGTCAAGAAGAGCTGTATAAATCAAGACCACGTGTAACTTCTGTGCTGAAGCATGCCTGGCAATGAAAAAAGCAGAATGGCTTTCTTTCAAATGCCAGAAAAGGTCAAAAGCACAAGCAAATGTCCGCTTGTAATCGTTTCAGCAGGGGGAATTGGGGGAATCTCAACAGTCTCAATCCCACACTTATGTGGGGCAGGCTGGGTGCAGCATGCAATTATGTTAAAAAAAAATCTAGCCCATTTTAGTACTTGGGTTGAGCTATCACATGCAGCATTATCTGAAAATAGAACATGCTGGAATATTTTTAATCACTGAGGTTTTAAATTGTTCCAACTAGGTCTCACTTTCAGAGACTCAGTGCAGTTATGGTTGCATAACTGCATGTTTTCAGCCAGAGAGAGACCACTCTATTTTGGGTTAAAAAGCCCAAACATTTTACACAGGCTGGACTGCGGCAAGCTATGTCATCATACCAGCCATGGGGACAAACACCAAAAAGAATGAATTAACACACACAAGCTAGTGCTGATTCTGACACCCGTACATCACACTGCAAGCTAATTAACAACTTCGCACCTCTTTTTCTTCTGCGCAAAGTGTAGAGAATACTCACCAGGATTTGGTGAAATCTAATCATCTTACACATGCAATGCATTTTGAAAGTCTTGATGAAAGCAATAGATATTATCGTATAAACAGGATATGAGGATTGACAATAGCACAGGCAACTCTGGAGTCTCACCTCATAGTGTCCTTGTTCATGAAAAAGTTTTCCTAAATTATAAAGACAGCTCGTAACAGAGCTTTTATGGGCATGAGGATCTTTCAAATTTTCATCAGGGATCTCTGAGCACTTTAGGAACGTCCTTCTGGCTTCTTCTGTCTTCCCTTGATTCATCAAGATGATACCAGTATTCAAATAGGCAGCTGTGAGGAGGGAAAAAAATTTCAGTGAGGTTCCATTAGGTTTTCGTGATCTTCAATTTGCTTCAAGTAATCCAACTTGGGTTTTCTATAAAACAGTTCAACCACTGTAGGAAAGAAGGGTACAGAGTATGTACCATAAAAAACAGAGGCTGGCACTCAGAAACAGAGCCTATAAATTTGGGCAGCCATAGCCATGGGCTGAGAAGTCACCTCAGAGAAGAGGCAGCTCAGTTCTTCCCAAGCTGTCAAGTGTTCAGGCACTTGCCTGCCTCCTCCAATCCACCACCCTCAATGCCATAGTAAATGCAGCTTGATAAACATTTACTTTCACTGAAGACTGAGCAATTTCTCCTACTGCTTTCAGAATGGAATATGATCAGTGTTATTAAAACATGCAAGGATTCCTTAAATAAAGTAGTCTATGTAATGCAAATTTGCACAGTTGACATACTTACAAGCTAATGTGGGTCTGCTACCAATTGCCAGTTTATAGTAATGTAATGCTTCTGAAAATCTGCTATTTTCCTGAAGTAGCAATCCTCTGCATAAGGACAAAATTAAAAAAAAAAAAGAAGAAAAAAAAAGAGAGAGAGAAGGAAGTTACTATAAGAAGGAATTTAAGAATGTTATTTGATGTCCTATCGCTTCAAATAAAAGGAGAATAAAAACAAAACTAAGGCAATAAGGAAAAATATGCCAATTGGTATCAGAGAAGCAATAAATATTCACATTGCTAACAATCCAGTGGGAAAATTGTTTCATCTGAAAAGAGGATAAATTCAAAGATGTCAGATGTATCCATATGGCTTTAACGAGGCAGACGTTAAAATATAGTAGCATCAGCTTCCTTGGAAACAGAGAACCATTTACTCATTTGATAGATTGCAAGGCTATTCTTTTAAAAGCACTTAGAGTGTGCTGGAGCTATTTGTAGCTAACCGTCAATCACATTTAGCCATTTTCTCTTCTTGACTTGAAAGAAACAATCTATTTTGAATGTACAATAAAGGTTGACCAGCTAACACTTCATATGTATTACCTTAACCAGTCGTTGCTGAATAATTTCTCTAAATTATTCACTCTATGGCTATTCCCCTACCGTCCCTCTATTCTTCTTTCTGCTAAGAAGTTTAACTAGCAGAAAAGCTATCAAAAAGGATCTCAGAATTTTTACAGTTCTCAATTTCATAGTTCATGAGCTTTTAAGACAAGCACCTTTGTGAAACACAAATTAAAACAGCAATCAGTGAATTTCTGTGAGAAATTAGTGGTCTGGATATCATTCACATGAATTCACAGCTGTATGCTTAAATGAATGGCCAAAGCATTACAGTCTTCCCAGAGCTTTAGGGGAGTGAAATGAGCATATGCAATTGTCTTGAAATGTCCAAGATTAAAAAACCCTTAATAATTATCTCTACAGTCTTCAGGCTCCGACCTCATTATCCTTATGATGTCCCTCTTCATTCACCTGTTCAGAAAGTATCTGGAAAAAACAAATGTAATCTTCACCCATAAAAGGAATAGCTACCACAGCTACTCATAATTTCCCTTACCTACATCAATTTTCTCTTCTTCCTCTACATTTTTACCTGATGATAGCTTTTCAACCCACACAGAGGACAGACATTTTTTTCAGTCTTTAGTTTCTAATCAGAGAATGCTTTTCCCCTCTGCTTACGTGATGCAAAATTAAAAAATATTTCTAAATGAAGCCAGCAGATTTTAGGGGAAGAATGGATTAGGGAGGTTGGCTGAAGAGAAAATAAAATAAAATAAACACTTCCAATTTCCTTTGTTTTCCATGGTTAAAATTTAACAGAAAGGAGAAATATATCCTGTTTTCTTTATATTTGTATGGCTTCTCTGCCAACACCAAGTGGCCTCGATCCCATCCAGCAGTTGTGAACTACCCTAGGATTTAGTACCCAGACACTTATAAAATTAGCAGAACTTGCTTTCAGATAGTACTTATAGCAATTTGAGCAAAGACAGAATCACATTCATGATACTTTTTAGCATGGAACCCAGGTTTGTTTTATTTAAACTACAAGCACTGCACTTGCAAGTCTTGCAGGTGGCAAGATGCATAGATTTTCAGGACAGTGGTAACATTTTCTGAATTTTCTAGAACTTTTGCATTTTGTTTACTCAGGAGTTATAATCTGCAGTTACTCAAAGGAAAAATACTTTCATAATGTCTTGATCCAGTTTTCTATTGATGGGAATGGATTTAACACAAAAATGAGTGGGTTGTATGGTCTAACATTTGTTTCTTGTTTTAAATACTTCTATACAATCTGGGAACAAATATTTTCAAATACTGAGAGGAGTAATATGCTAATTGCTCATCTTGAACAAAATAAATTACTTTGGTAAATGTATGACATTTATGTTTTTTGGATTAAAAGAGCATTTATCTATCTTTATTAGCAAATTCATCATCTCTTTTCACTACATGCTCTGGTACTGGCATTCTTGATTAATTACTTGATACTTTCAGGGTATGGTTTCTTTGTTTTTTTTCCCCCCTCCTCCTATTTCTCTTCCAGAAAACTCTCTTTTTTTAAAAAGTTGTTAAATTAACAAACTTTCACACACTTACAAGAAGCTACTTGGATGCAAGACTGAATACTGAATTCTAGCACATAATTAAAGCATTTTATTTCTATTTGTCATGAGACTTGGTACAATAACAACAATAATGTGACACATACAACCTAGAAAACCTTGATCAGGAATGAAACTGCCTATTTTTCTTATGAAATTGGCTCTGATTGACCTCTAGTTTTCCCTGTGGCTTCTGACAATACAAAACTAAATTAGATTTATGAGCCCCAGTTCTAGTTTCAGATTAAACAAAGTCAAGAAAAGGCTTTAAAAATTCAAAAGTGATATTTTTAGCTGAAAACAAATAAAACTTGAGGGTGGGGATCTGTTTTGAGTGATAACTAGCTTGGATGATTGCCAGAGAAGACAGAAAAACATTTCTTTAAATAGATAAAAAGTAAAGATCATACAGCTTGCATTAAAGTGGCAAAGCATTCTTGAAACCGTAATGAAGTTAAAAGAGTTTAAAGATTAGATACATTTCCCAAAAGGAAAACAACATCTCCAAGCTCAAGCAAAATGCAGTAATATGAATATGTTTATTGCTACTTTCACCCAACCTTTATCTAATTACATAGAAGATGCAACTAAATCTAAAATCAAACACTTTATAGTTACAGCCAAAATGAATACTTCCTATGAAATTTCTAACTCTTCTTTTTAGCACAGGTACTGCAACCACAGTCTCTAATTACGTTATCGCTCACTTATTTCCATTGGAGTACTGCCT